GTTGACTCCAACAATAATGCCAACATTCTGAACAAAAATGTGCACTCAGTAGTGCTTGGAGAATGTAACAAGAAAGAATCTCAGCTACTACCACACCAAATTGTACCTCAGTATTTGCTCCAAAAGTAAATCAGTTGTTTGTGTACATGTACAACCAATAATATATTTAGGAAAGTTTCATTGAAATCTGTCCAGTGGCTTATGGGATTTTTTTTTTTCTATCAAACAGAAATAGTTGATTCCAATAGTCATCTTTGAAATTTTAAACAAAGATCTCGCACAATCAGTGCTTAATATATATATATTGGAAATCAGTCTAAACTACTACCACATAATTCTAGCTCAATATTTTAAAATTGCATTTATTGCAGAAATATTGTATTTGTGTTACCTAAGGTCGATTAACTGTGGAGACCATTTTGAATTGGGTTGACTCCAAATGCTTTTTGGTTATAGATTTACATCTAATGGTTCCTTTCTGCTGGTGGCACAATGGTTGAGCTGTTGCCTCTCAGCAAGGAGGTCGCTGATTCAAATCCCGGCCCAGGACCTTTCTGGGTGGAGTTTGCATGTTCTCTTTGTGCATGTGTGGGTTATTTCCAGGTACTCTAGTTTCCTCCCACAGACCAAAAACATGCATGTTAGACTGACTGGTAACTCTAAATTGTCCCTAGGTGTGAGTGAGAGAATGAATGTTTGTTTGTCTCTATGCGTCCCTGTGATGGACTGGAGACCTGTCCAGGGTGTCCCCCGCCTCTCACAGTGACTGCTGGATACCAGTGACCCCCACAACCCAAAAAGGAAGAAGCGGGTAAAGATAATGGACGGATGGTTCCTTTCTGAAAATTTCACAAAAATCTATTCTGTGGTTCATACAATATTTTGCTAACAGACAGACACATAAGCACACAAACATGGGAAAAATATTGTTTCCGACATTTTGTCTTTTGAGGGTAGGCATGAAAAATTGAATTCAAGTAGAAAAACAAAAAATGTTGATAGTGGAAGGAGCAAACAAGAAGCGTTGTTGAGGAAGGAAGAAGGGGTGGGGGTGGGCAGCAGCCATTAAATATGGGAAGTCCGAGCAGCAGAGACACTGAATCAAAGCAGAAACTGGTGTAAGGCAGAAGTCCAGGATGTGGAGAAATCTAATTAGATCTCTTCTTTAGATGGCTCATCTTGGATTAAAAGCAGAAAATCTACAAACTGAAGGTAAGTTTGTTCTTGTCCTTTTGCCTTAAACATTTAATATAATAATTCTCTTTAATGTTAAATGGATCTACATATCCACCAAAATAAAGCTTTCCTGAAATCTCTAGTTTGTTGTACATATAAAAAAACATGTATTTAAGATTATCAGAAAGCTTCATTGTACTAACAATAGAAGTTTGTATGACAATTTGAATTGAACACTTTCGTGCATATATTTTACAATTTATGGGATGCTTTTTACCATTAGCGTCACAGAAAGCAAAGGCTGCCGTAAAAAAAGTGATTGTTAAATTCATGAAGGAAGCTCAACTAATGACAGAAAACAGTAAAGTACAGTCTTGAACATTTTTTACAAATACATTTTATTTGGAGGTACTTTAAGACACTGATCCATTATAAAGACAGGTACATGTTCTCTGGCTCTTGTCAGCATTTAGATTTTCTTTGTATTTTTCTCTCAATAAGGCTGCCAGAAACCTGTTGAGCAGCAGAGTGACTGAACTATATTTGTGTACATTCTGGTAACATGAAGAATAAAGCAACAAGAGTGCAGCACGTTAGAGGAACAGAAACTGATGTACATTATATTCACCCACCTGCCTGCCCCTTAGCATTCTATGTTTTGACACCTTAAAACTTGTATTTCAAAGTTAATTTGGGAGGTTTTGTCTTTTCATTTACTCAACATAATTAATATTAATGATGCAAAAAATATTCCTTTAGTGAAATTACAAAATAAATTAATAAATTAACATTAGTGTACATAACTGTCCCATCCATCCATCCATCCATTATCTTCCGCTTATTCCGAAGTCGGGTTGCGGGGGCAGCAGCTTGAGCAGGGAGGCCCAGACATCTCTTTCCACAGCCACCTCTAACTATCCCCACCCCCAAATAAATAAACAAATAAATACTAAAATTTTAATGTTCCTTTTTGACTGTGCAACTTTACAAATGGCACCCCATAACAAACTTAGCATTTTCTACAAATATAAAATTGGAAGAAAACATCTTAATATGCAAGAAATTTGGCATAATACACAAATTTACCTAGTTGGTCATATAACTGGCTTATACAGATACATTGATGCAACACTTTCGTTTTTGCTCCTATTTTTCATGAGCTGAACTCAAAAGTCTAAGACTTTATCTATGTACACAAAATACCTTTTTCTCAAAAATATTGTTCACAAATGTGTGTAAATCTGTGTTAGTGAGCACTTCTCCTTCGCCAAGATCCGCCGCACAGGTGTGTGTGGCATATCAAGAAGCTGATTAGACAGCATGATTGTTGTGACATGTGTGGCATTGGGCTGTGTGATAAAACAGCACGTTTTAGAGTGGCCTTTTATTGTGGCCAGCCTAAGGCACACCTGTGCAATAAGCTTCTTTGCTGCTGTTGTTAGCTTTTGTAGCAATGCTCGGTTCACATGCAGGCATTCCTCTTTATCATCATTTCATGTTACTGTGTATAAGAATATTTCAACAACTGTTCATCGCAATGGTATGATGTTTTTTTCAATATATTATTAATGTTAACTTTCCAATAATGCATTTGTATAAATTGATGTCACAGGCACTTTAAAAACATTTGTATTTTTATTTATGTCTGACGTAAATGCACAAACTGACCAAACCCCTAGTCCTTGTGATAAAAGAAAGTGCAGCTTAACATTTGATAACTCTCTTGGCTTTTTTTTTTTTTTGCAATTGTGTCATAATAAAATTAATACAAATATTAAATTTACTCTCTGTTTTGAACTTTTTAGTGCAAGCAGGTTAATAAATGTTAAGCTTAAACTTTTTATTTAACTTGAAAATAGTGGATGCCAAAATTTCTTGAGTTACCACCAGAGAAATTTCAAGTACCAACACAGAAGACGTACAAACTGACATGAGACAACCAAATGCTGTTTTTCCAAACAACTTACAATGTTCTCACAGTGACTGCTCTAACTTTACTTTCTACTCTGTATTTTTGTCTGTCTTACAATCAGATCATGACAGACACAGATGTGTGGTTACCATAGTGACATTAATCAGCCACAGACAGCAGGTTCACCCCACACTTCACATACTGTACTTTATCCATCAAAACATCAGCATTTTATTGTCTGATTTTTTTTTACAAAATCAAGTCTTAAATTACTGTAGGTTTCAGATTAAAAAAACACGTTTAAGCAGTAGCTGCAATGGTACTAGTGTTGTAGTACTTGAATCCGGTCTCAAGACCACAACTGTGGAAATATCATACAATTGCCAGAATATTGTCCAGTTTATTTGTTAACATCTTGGTTTTTATTGGATGTAAAACATACTGGTTCTAATCCAAGGGATAACATGACTCATTGTTAAATACATGTCTTTGTTACCGCTGTCACGCCCACCCTCTTTCACTCTCACATGGTTCTGTACCACCAGAACAATACAGACAACAGAACGTAACGTCGCAACGGGGTGAAAGTAAGTCGGTCCGGTCCGGTACTGTGTACCGCTAAAAGATTCTGTGCCGGTATGCAGTACCTGGAAGAGAGGGGCTGTCGGCTGTAAAGCCTCATTCAGAACCAGTCACGGCTGCACTTTGGGTCAGAATAGATTTGTTAGCAATAAGCAGTTTAAAACACGACTTAATCAGTTAATAAATAACTTTTTTCTCATTTCAAATTGTTTCTGAACTGTTGATGCTCCGCTGGTGAAGTTAGTTTTACGTTGGACATTGGAGCTCTGTGGCTTCAGCGGTGTGTTCCTCTCGTTCGGTCCGAAGCAGGCAGTCTGATTACAGTCAGCTGCGCTCAGTCTGCCCCTCCTCTAAGACATGATGGTTCACTTAGGGACCGTCAACAAATTACCAAACCAAACACTCTTCAGAAACAAAAATTAATATATTTTACATCATTTGACCCATTGACACAAAACTAATGTTAAACTACTCTAATAGACCTGACACACAAGACACCATCATTTATTTCTCATTTTAATGTATTTTCTAATTAGTTGTTGAGCAAAAACCATGATTTTTGAACAAATTATGTAAAATTAGAAAATGCTTTAAAATGAGAAATGTGGATGCTTCTTCTGTCAGGTCTAGTAGAGAAGTTTAACATAAGTTTTGTGTCAGCGGGTCACATGACATGAAAATTATTGTGCAAAAACCATTGAATGTCCGATTTCTTTATGTAGTTTTGAAATTTTATAAAAGCTGATACATTCATTCAAAAGCAAACTTAAAGTTGCAGTATGTAATTCATAAAAAATATTTTTATAAAAGTTACATATGTTTTTTACATATTTGTTAAAACTGTCACTATGTCGTGACAGCATAGTATAAGACAGATCATCTGTGAAAAGATTGAGCTCCAAGACTTGAGGTCTTGGTCTCGACTTGGTCTCAGGTTAGGTGGTCTTGACTACAACACTAAACGACACACGTCAAATGTTATTCAGAAATTGTCTAGTTAAGGTATTTTCTTTTTAAAAAATGTACTTTGAAAAAACTCTTCTATAAGATCCATGCCATCAGACAAACACTAAAAACCTGCAACAGAAGAAACACCAACCATAAATCACAAGTTGCTGCAGATACAAAGCAGTAGAAAATTAATTTTGTTGTCTTCTAGGAAAAAAAAACTCAAGTCAAAGGAATAATTCACAGTAAAGAGTTTTGTGAATGAACAAACTTGATCAAATCTGTTAACTGTTACAATTACTAAATGTATTGTACCGTTTCCAATTTCTCCCTTTAGATTTCACCTTTGCTGAACCTGCTTTCATTCACTAAGATTCTGAAGATGAGCTGTTCTCTTGCTGCTACAGTTTTCAGAGAGATGAGCTGCCCTGAGGATGCTGTGGTCTGTGGGGTGAATATGTCCTGGCTTTTAGCTAATGCCACTGAAGAAGATGTGAAAGAAATATGTCTGAGCGAGAAGGAGTACCTCACCATGCACCTGGGTCCTCCGACGTCACCCATGTTTCTTCCTGTGTGTGCCACCTACCTTGTTATTTTTATGGTGGGGGTCCTGGGTAATTCCCTGACCTGTGTGGTCATTTTGTGCTACAAGGTGATGCAGACTCCCACCAACTACTACCTGCTTAGCCTGGCTGTGTCTGACCTGCTGGTGCTGCTGCTGGGCATGCCACTAGAGCTTTATGAGCTGCATCAGAACTACCCCTTCCTGCTTGGGAAGGGAGGGTGTTACTTCAAAATCTTTCTGTTTGAGACTGTCTGCTTTGCCTCCATCCTTAATGTGACGGCACTCAGCGTGGAACGGTACATTGCGGTGGTGCACCCATTTACAGTCAAACACGTGGCGACACGTGCTCATGTTAAAAGAGTCATCGTCATGCTATGGGTGCTGTCCATGCTGTGCGCTGTGCCGAACACCAGTCTGCACGGGATTGTGGTGTTGCCTCCGAAGTTTGGACGAGAATTTCCCAGTTCTGCTATCTGTCGTATGTAAAGACGTTCCCATTTATTCTTGTTTTTTTGAAACTTTAGTTAGCTTGCTAGCAGCTGGTCTTCCATGCAAACTTTATCATGATGCTATTTACACATTACCTAGGAAGGCATGATTTGAAATTCGTTTTTTTCCCAGATACAGAACGTAGTCTCCAACCTTTCATGCCCACCACGTGTCTGTTCTACCTTCATCCTCAGATGTGGTCAAGCCCACCTGGATGTACAACCTGATCATCCTGATCTCTACGTTGGTCTTCTTTGTGCTCCCCATGTTGATCATCAGCATTCTCTACTTATGCATTGGCCTGCAGCTGCAAAGAGAGAAGATGGTGACTGTCGTGGAAAGTAATTGTAGCTTTGGTCCTGACAGCATCTCCAAGTCCCACAAGCAGAGGCTGAGCAAACGCAACCTGCAAGTTACCAAAATGCTCTGTAAGTGATACTGCAGTAACTTTTTCTCCTTCCAAGTCACTACACAGATGAAAACTGTAGAGTAAATTTAGAATAAAGGAAATGACTGTAGTGGTGACATGGTGGCTCGGTTTGTAGAGTGGTTGCCTCTCAGCAAGAAGATCGGCGAATCAAATCCTGGCCGAGGGCCTTTCTAGGTGGAGTTTACATGTTCTCAAGGTACTCTCTGAGTACCTTGATACTCTGTAAATACCCTGTAAGTATCCAAAAAAGTTCAATTTGGTCCTCTGGACATTCAAAAAAAACAAGAAAACAACAACAACAACAAAAAAGCAAAAAAAATGTAGAAACGTTTCGTCTCTCATCCGAGAGACTTCCTCAGTCTGAGGTGCTGTATTCATACATTTTACTGACCACATCAACTCTGTGGATAAATACATCAAGTTCACACGAGAAGATGTATAAAAATGGCAGGTTGGCTTTCTTGGACTGTGAGGTCTCAGTCTCTGATAGAGGACTTTTGCAAACCGAGGTGTACCACAAACCCACCCACACAGACCAGTATTTGCAGTTTGACTCCCATCACCCTTTGGAGCACAAGTTAGGAGTCATCAGGACTCTGTACCACAGAGCAGACAGCGTCCCCACTAGCTCAGGAGCCAGGCAGAAGGAGAAATCCCACACAAGACAGGCTCTAGAGCAATGTGGATATCCTAACTGGGCCTTCCTAAAAGCAGAGAAGAACCCCAAACAGGACTCCAGTCAGCCATCAGGTGAAAAGGAGGAACCCAGACCCAGACCAGTGGTCATTCCGTATGTTGAGGGGGTATCAGAGAAACTGAGACGTTTATTTTCTAAACATAACGTCCCAGTGGCTTTTAAACCCCAAAATACATTACGGCAAAGACTGGTTCATCCCAAAGATCCAGTCCCCCGGCACAAACAGAGCAATGTTGTGTATGCTGTTCAGTGTCAGGAGGGTGATCAATCTTACATCGGGGAAACAAAACAGCCACTGGCCAAAAGGATGGCCCAGCACAGAAGATCAACATCATCAGGCCAGGACTCTGCGGTCTACACTCATCTCCAGGCCAGCGGTCACTCTTTCAGGGATGAAGATGTTCACATCCTGGACAGAGAGGAACGATGGTTTGAGAGAGGAGTAAAGGAGGCCATCTTTGTGAAAAGAAATCGTCCATCATTAAACAGGGGTGGAGGCCTCCGGGTTCAACTGTCCCCCTCTTACAATGCTGTGATTGCTAGTATCACTCAGTCCTCTGTGAATAGTAAACAGCCATCAGTGTGCTAATGATCCATTGTTAGACTGATGGTCCTTCTTGAGCATGTGAGCAGCTGGTTTTGGTTGTCAGCAGCAAAACTGGTTGATAACTGTAATGTAATGTAATGCACTGTAATGCTAGCCCTCTAATACCATATTTATTTAGCTTTTCAAGAAGAATACTGTGGTCAACAGTATCAAATGCTTTCTTTAAATCAACATAAATACTAACACAATACTTTTTTTTGGGTCAACAGCAGTTGTTATTTGTTCTATTAATTCAATGAGAGCCATTGATGTAGGATTTTTAGGTCTAAACCCATATTGACTGTTACTTAATATATTATGTTAATCGATAAATTGATCCAATCTAATTACAAATAATTTCTCTAAAATCTTCGAAAACTGTTGCAACAAGGATTTTGGTCTGTAATTGTTACACACACCAGGCTGCATAAAATATTGCTATCATTACTTTCTGTTAGTTACAAAAAACAGTTTGTGCACGGATTGTTTTCTACTCTCAGCTGCTCCCTTTCTCAGGGGTCATGACAGACCAAAATACACAATGAAGTTGTTTTTGTTCAACTTTCAAATGTAAAGTTAAGCAAACCGAACATTTGTTTTATGTTCTTCAGGTGTGTTGGTGGTTGTTTTTGGTATTTGTTGGGCCCCCTTCCATGTGGACCGCTTGGTGTGGAGCTACATCGACATGTCATCTGTGCAGCACCTGAAGACTTTCACGAACGTTCACATCATATCTGGAGTTTTCTTCTACCTGAGCTCTGCTGTCAACCCAATCCTCTACAACCTGATGTCTACCAGGTTCAGAGAAATGTTCAGTCACATCACGTGCTATTCAAAAGGCTGGCAAGCACATTCAAGCTTTCAGATGACTCCACGCAGCACACTGAATGAGGAAATGCACAGCAGTGACACACTGACTTAATGCTTGCACTAAAGGAGTTAGAAATAGATGACAGTAAAGGTCTTTTGGATAAAAGACAAAACATTTCAACAAAGAAGAATCTGCCCAGAAGATCTGACTCACCCTTGTTAGATCAGAAATAGACTGACTAAAAAAAATCATGCAATTAAATAAATAAAAGCTGTGGGAAAATACATATAGCAGGGGATATAAGTGTAGGGGATCGTTCATATATTAATCCTAAACAGACTGGGCTGCTGCTGAGAATTCTGATCTCACCACCAATACCACCAAACAAGAAGATAAGTTATGGAATAAATGTTTTTCATCCAAGCAACAGAGATGTATAAATGGACAACAGTTATTATAAGCAGGGCCGGCCCAAGGCATAAGCAAGCTAAGCAGCTGCTTAGGGCCCTGGGGCACTAGGGGGCCCCCCTAAGTGTTAGCACAGATTTTAGGAAGTTTGCGAAGTATTAAGGAAGAAGTAACATAAACAGGTCAAATATGTGGGTAAAGGTTGTTTAATATTTTAAGATCAGCTTTTACAAATTGCATACATTTACATAGTTTTAAGAACTAATTATTCAACTTTAAATTTCTTTTTATTTTTTAAAAACATTTTACATGGTTTCAAGTAATTGTTCATTTACATTAATCAAGTATTTCCTTGATATTTTATTTTATTTTGTCTGTTTTTGCACAATTTAAATTTATTTTTATGCATCATATTTTATCTGTTGTTGCTCTTGCATTACAAATTATTTTGAACATTACTGGTTCATTATCTTTGGTTCCAAAGATAATGAACCAAATGACACTTTTGCTGTAAAATACATTACATACTGGGGATTTTTTGTTTCTTTTCTTACTTTTAGTATGATTTATACATATAGGATAATGTAAACAGGGCTGTCAGAGTTGCAATGAGTTTATGTGAGGTGGGTGAATGATCTGATCATCTGACTTTTGATTGCAGTAATTCACATTATTAGCAGAAATAAAGAGCCCCAAACCAAATTAGGGCCCCATGGAGGCTTGGGCCGGCACTGATTATATGTGTCAAAGCTGTTCTATAAGCCAGACATCTTACAAGACTTTATGTTGTATTACTTGTATTACATCCATTTATCACCCACCTCAATGTATTCAACCAGCCAGGAAACATTCAGACCTCAAATTTGAAGACTTTCTCTTGGTGGTAAGGGTTCTACGACACTACATCAGTGATGAACACATGAAAAATAACCAATCCCTTAGTTTACATGCCTGTTTATTACGTAAGTGAAAGTTTCTCATTTATATTCTGTAAATAGTACAGCATTACAATTCTAGGCCTGTCACAAACATTAACACATTATTTGAGCAGATACATAAAAGTCTTAGTGTGGATGAATTGGAGATTAATGTAAAAGTTAGTGAAGCAAGAAAAGCTGACTGTGATATTTGTAGTCAGGAGGAAGATGTGATGCATGATTAGCCACTTGCTATTGTTCCAGTCAGTGTTTTTATGCATGATGGAAGTGAACGTGTCATATACAGTATTCTATATAAAACATAAAAACTGTCATATGACAACCAGTTTAGCTTTTTACACTTCAGGATGATTTTTATACAGCTCTTGTTTTCCTACTGTGACTGTTTGAAGCTACTTGTCTCTGCTTTTCTGTCTGCGTGTCTTATTAAGAGTGCTGTCAGGGCTTGACAGACACAGGTGTGTAGTTACTATGGTGACCTTAATAAACCACTGGCAGCAGCTGTAACGTTTCTTCTGATCTTGGTTCTCTTTACATCTAATCAGCTTTTACAACAAGCCATCAATATGCCACCAGTTTAGATTAATACAAGTCAGTCACAAATTATATTAAAGTATAAAAATGTTCATTTATATTGTGCTCAGCTATAAAAATGACCAAAATTAACAGCTATCTGTACGTGCATTTTTAATATTGTATTGTGTATGTGCTGCATTATTTACCCAAACACTTTGCTGTGTGTTTCTGTGCTGTAGGTTACATTAAAAAATTAAACTCTCCTGCTGCCGTTGAGTCAAAATGGATCAATCATGTAATTTTGCCCCAAGAACAGGAGAGTTAAATAATGACCTCTTATAGTTTTCTCTTTTATCTGGTGAATGTATGCTGTCACTAACACAACACACACCATACTGCGTACTTTTCAATAAAATGGTTCTTGCTGTTTATCTTTTATTTATGTACTGGTGGTAAAAAAAAAAAATGTCAGCACAACAACTGATCTTTGTTCCTGGTGTAAAAGGATAGTTTGGTTCAACAACGTTCAGTCAGGTCATCTGGACGGTTTCTTTTTTTTGTTCCTAGATGTTTCACCGTCCATCCAGAAGGCTTCATCAGCCTGAGGAAACACCAAACAAAACTGATTCTCCCCCAACAGCTTAGTCCAAAGTGGAACAAATCGCAACACAAAAAAAAAGTAACCATCCAGATGACCTGACTGAACTTTGTTGGATGTTATACCTGGATTACAGAGCATGGACTTTGGTGTTTTGATAGTTTGGTTATTTTGAAGAAATGATCTGTTATTAATTTGCTGTAGTCGTAGATGAGTCGTAGATCACGGCATATGAAGAAAAGGCCAAAAGTCTAAGCTAAAAGCTCGAGTCGATGTTAGTTTTCAGGCCCATTCGTTCTCAAAAACAACACTGCTGTGAAAGCACATTAAATTAGATCAAATTAAAGCTCTTACTGGTGCCGTCGGTGTATGGTTGGACCCAAGATGCAGACAGGAGGAGTTGCAACGCTAAACTAAAATCTGGTTCGAAATAAACAAAAGCAAAGGCCAGCGTGGTGGCAACACATTTACAAACTCTGGAAGGAAACAACCCAGGGAGGCATGGGGGAGCAGGAGGAGGACCGAGACAAAGTCAAGACAATGAACCGCTGTGGGAGTAGAGATCAGAAACGATATAAAGCAGGCGGGAGTGAAGAGCTGAACGGACATAAACATAAACCAGAAGGAGAAATAAAATTAAAAGATAACCTAAATAACCAAAAAATACAGACTGGTTTTGAACTGTTGGCCTAAATGAAGACTTTCATTTCTTTCTCGATACTCTGCTCCAAGAATGATGTCTTGGCTGGTAATTATTAATTACTGTTTGATAGAACATCACTATCCTTTAAGCTTCACGTTATAAACATCAAATAAAAATCCATCCATCCATTTTCTTTACCCGTTTATTCCATTTTGGGTCACGGGGGTCGCTGGTGCCCATGTCCAGCAATCACCGTGCGAGGGGCGGGGTACACCCTGGACGGGTCGCAAGTCCATCACAGGGACACATAGAGACAAACGAGACAAACAACCATTCACTCTCTCACTCACACCTAGGGACAATTTAGAGTTGCCAATCAGCCTAACATGCATGTTTTTGGACTGTGGGAGGAAACCAGAGTACCCGGAGAAAACCCACGCATGCACGGAGAGAACATGCAAACTCCACCGAGAAAGGACCCTGGACTGGGGTTTGAACCAGGGACCTGCTTCAAATAAAAATGTCTAAGTTAATGTTATAGCCAAACAATTCAACAGACAAAAACCCTTCTGCTGTGAAGTCTATCTGAACTAAAGCACACATGGCATAGAGAAAAATCTAATTTATGGAGATGATGAGCTAAGGAAGGAAAATGATGTCAGTGGGTCAATAAAAATATAAATGAGTTGATGAGCAGGATGTGGAAGAAGACAAAGAAGAGGACCTACAAATTGTTTTATAACGACACGGCGTCATCGATGTGCCACCCCAGCACTAATAAAGGACGATCTGTTCACAGTGTCCATCACCATCACCCCAACAGAGTCACACTCTGGCTCTACAAATAGACCCACGTGTGTGAGAGGAACATTGGCTCGGGGAAATAAAAAGACAAATCTGCTCAAGTAGGAGCCCAATCATTTTACTTTCACAAACCGATCAGGAAATGTCTCCAGGACGAAGGTCATAACGTTCCCCAAACCAGAAGCAATAAAAACAAAAAATCAGCAGATTTAAGAATTGACAATCATTTTACTCTCACAAACCTTAGACAAAATTATTCCCACTGTATGACTTGTCTCCATCATCCGGATGTTTTGATTGGAAACAAAAAGAAAAGTAGAAGATTCCAGTTTTTAATTCACAAACTTGAATTTAATGTCACCGAGATAAAATTATAGACATCGAATAACGAAAAGAAGTGGAAATGTAAAAAGTGCTGCTCTCATATAATGCTCTTTTAACACCAAAGTGATAAGTGAGAGTAGTGTAATACAAAGATAATGCAAAAGAGTGCGACATGACAGAGTGAGACGAAACGACAGGATTTTCTGTCAAGACACTGATGTGAAGTGCTGCTTCATGAGATGACTTGAAGTAGTTTGTGGATAGAGAATGAAAGTTATAAACAGACTAGAACCCAAAGATCCACAGACCTTGACAGATGTGGAGAAAAAGAGAGCGAGGGTAAATGAGATCTATATGAGACTGACTGAATGTGGTAAACAGAAGCTTGACAGGATTAATGCTGCAAAAGCATCGAGCAGCAGGATGCAGTCTCTGGGAAGAAGATGTAACTGTTCAAACATTTGGTTGCAAATATATCTCATTTGTTTCTTATTTCATTTTACATTTATTTAACAACGAATGTCCAACTAAGATTAAAAATCTGTTTTTCAAGGGAGACCCGACAAAGATAGGCAGCAGCAAGTACAAAACATAGTCTCCACATCACAAGACAACAAAATTAAAACCATCAAATTGAGAGACGACTAAAAACAATCCATTAAAATAAATTCAGAACAAGTGCAAACCATGGATTTAACCGCAGTTTTCATTTAAAGCCGTCAATGAGATTCACTCTGTTAGCCTCCAGGCTTTCTGCAGTAAATGGTGCAGAATGGACAAGAGCCTTTGTTTCCTGTTCAGTCCAGGCAAATGGAACAGAAAGCATTAAAGTGTCTTGCTGGTGAAGAGCATCTCTCTGTACAAGTAGAGTGCAAATATA